ACACACACACACACACACACACACACACACACACACACACACACACAGCATGATCCCAAAAGAGTAATTAATCATAGAAAAGCTGTCACATGAGACATGAATTCAAAAGCACTTTCTTTCTGATGGATTGTACTTGGCTCATTGCTCAGTCGGAGTTTGTTTACAGAGACAAGATTCCAATATCAATGATTCAGTACAACACAACTAATACTACAGGGGATCAATACCAAGTCCAGGTACTTGTACTTCACTTGAGTATTTCAATACCTTATACTTCTACTCCATTACATTCACAAACATACTTTAAAGCTTCAGTCACTAGTTACTTTGCAGATTCAGATATTAATACAATATATAAATCAACTAATAAACGATGATATATTGTTAAAGCTTAAGCTACCCAGTACTATATGAAGTACTCCAAATATATATACATCAGATGCAACATGAATGCATCTGAGTACTATATATACAGTACATGAAATGTGCCATTGTGTATAATGAGTATTTATACTTTTGGTACTTTGGTATTTTGATGCTGATACTTGTTTTTGTTTTTATAAGTAAGTTTTGTAATGCAGTACTACTTGTAACTGAGTACCTCTACACTGTAGTATTGCTACTTTTACATACGTAGCAGATCTGATACTTCTTCCACCACTGATCAATGCACAATAATGGAACTTCAGGCTAATATTAGTGCAACATGCAACAAGTTCTTTTACTTCTGCATTTGTGCAAATTGACAATTGAAACTGTCCGATTCAGCCACCATCCATCCATCCTCACTCACCTGCCCCAAAACAAAAGATGTCTTCATCAAACAATAATATAAAAGGCTGAAACAAAAATCTAACAAAAACATAATCGATTTATGACGTTCAATGTCCATTTTTAAGTGAAAACTATTTCCCCGGTATATTGGAGTTTTGACCCTTCGCTTAAGCCCCTCCCTAGAACGGCAACTGTCCAATACAATCCATTCTTAGCAACCTAACTAGGCGCAGGAGGCGTGTCCAGCTTTTACGCGGTGTGTTTGGAAACTGAAAGTCGTATTTTTCGTCTTAACGAAGCCAAAATAACGCAAGAAGAGAGACGTGGGAAATGTTTTCCACAGTGTGGAAGATCTTCCTCACCGCTGAGTCCGACAAAGATCAACACAAACTGCTTCCAAGCGCCAAGGTAAGCTGAACACGTCAGCAAACAAAGACGGTTGAATATTGATTATTATTCATTTCCAGTGCATGGATCAAGCCCACGATGTGCGTAATTGCTTTGGCGTGCTTTGAACAGACATTTCATTTCGGGATAATTTAGTTTATATTAGATAATGAAAGTTATAGGGAGTCATAAATAACATTAAACATTATCTTAAAATAAACAAAGCAATAATATATTGACTAAGTTACCCGAACATTGTTGTTCCTGTATGTTTGTAGTAATTTCTCTCTACTTCTCCCTCATGTTTCACAACTATTATTCCAGAAATATGCTGTTATCTCCATTGGAATATCTCTCAGTGATATTGTTGAAAAACGTCATATTGACATGCTGAGTGTGAAGCAACAGTAACAGTACTACATTTAATTATCATAAATAATACTTTATAGTTGCTTTACTTGATCCTAGTTTGTTCCTATCTACGTGTGTCATGGAGAGGAACAAACTAATGCGAGCTTGGACATTAGTGACACACTTTATAACTTATTATAGGAACAGGACACAGAAGTATTGTGTGCAGTGTTAGCAGTGTGGGGAAACACATTAAAACAGACTTCCTGTCTCTCACAGGACACTGAGCAGATCAGACCTCATCATGTGATCAGCACACCTTCTGATACCACTGATCAGCCAACAGAGGGCAGTAAACATCCAGTCTTCACCAAAGACACAGATGACACTAGAAGAGAAATCCAACTGTCCTCGTTCAAGGGGAGACACCTCAGGTAAAGATTTTAACTAATATATATCAACATTAAACTTCCACTGTTGATTACTTACATTAAGGCATTCTTTTTTGTAATACAAGTTTTGTATGAATATGCAAATTAGATATTATCATATCTAATCATAAATTTCCAGATCATAAATCTGAACATTGGATGAAGCTATGTTCAAAAATGTTGTTTCATTTTGTTAAAATATAAGAGTCAGAGGTTTAACAGAAGTTTGTATATTTCTTTGTATCACAGTCTGTATATATAAACATACTGCCAACAGCTAAAAAAAGAGACAAATTCATGTTTTTAGTAATAAAATATTGTATAAATCAGGTAATGATGATATATGAACAGACCCCTCTGTAGAAACCTAGATATAAATAATACAGAGAGGAATGAAAGTGTAGAGTTTGGTGTATGTAAGAGCTGCTGAAGTGGAGATTTCTGGATGAGAGTCTGAGAACAAACTCATTTAGAGAAAACGTGTTTGGTCAAATTAAAGAAGACATGTTATGGAAGCAAAAAAGACCAAAATCTCAAAGCTGACCAGTGAACAATGTTCTCCTGGCGTGTTGAGACGAGGCAGAGCCCAACACTGAGTGCACTGATGATATGCGTACAGTCACACACTGGAGCAGCCCATTCATTCAAATATATGAAGAGACAAAATGCAAAAGGCCCGTGAGATTCCAGAGGCCTCAGGCTGAGGCTTAATGTCAAGTCCAGCCTCAAGCAGAGGAAAGACTGTGAAAGTCACAGAAGTCAAAAATAACTCTTAGTTTGAGGTAGAATATCTGGCCACCGACTCGCTGCCTCGTAAGGTCCTAAAGTATCGACCCTTTGGAGAGATAGAGTACGGCTGTTTGCACATGCGTCAAATAGGATCAGAAGAAGTTGCTTCAGTGCCACAACGATCAGCTGTTTGATTGGACGAGGACGATCGCAAACCATTTTTTGGTTCTGTGTCACCACTTGCCAGACAGGTGTTGGCAATATAAAAGAGGAGTGGAACTCTGCACATCACTAAGAAGCACCGCTCGGTGTCTGAGGAGACGATGACGGGGTGCGAGACTCCTGAGGGAGAGCACACATCCATCGACGCTCCAGCTCCAGTGTCCACCTGCTCTCGCAAATTAAGTGACAAATAAGTCAGTGTTGACGTCTCGTCTCACATGGGGAACCAACAGCGGTCTCCTGGCTGATAGGTCGCTGGGTGTTGGACCTATATCCACCTGATCCCACCATGAGTTTGTGGGATATCTACAAATGATCTTCTTCGTGGGTATAGCTACTAACGCTGGATGAGACCTGCATAAAGTCATCTTTATTTCTGAATTCAGTCAGTGAAGTTCAGACGGGGAGAAATCCTCCGGCGGCTGATTCCACTGATCCTGACAGGGTGAGGGCCACAGCTATGGTGACGCCTTGGACTTGTCTCTGACAAAAAAAAGCTGCACTTTACGTTAACTTCCTCATATTAAGCATTTCAAACCCACTTTATAAACCCTTAATGAATGGTTTATAACACACTATAATGTAGTTGTGATTGGATATAAGGACACGTTACGTGTTTATTATCATGTGTCTGTGTGTATAACATGCATCTCCCCACTAATTCCCCACAAGCGCATACTTTATACTTCAGACTGAACTGTTGCATATCAATATTTTACACATTATACACATTTACACACTGAGGGGACACGAGGAGACATGGAATGATAAATCATCCGTCATGAAGGTAGGCAAGCTTTTTATCCCATAAAGACCGCGAGCAGGGCTTTAAAATGTGAAACAGGAGTTGTGTTTTGTCTCAGAATATTTAATTTATCTCTAAGAAGTTATTTTTTAAATACTACTGTTAGAGGGTAGACATGTATATAAATGTTATAAACACGTTTGACTAACCTCTGAAATCTAACTAAACTGTTGTTTAACATCTGTTAAAACACAATTCTTATAATATTACAGTTTATTTTCTATCTGGTAAATTATACATGCAGTATAAGCTGTGAGGGTAACACTCTTTGCACTGAAATCAAATCCCGTGCTGAGATCTCAAATAACCGTTTCAGCGTCTGATGTGGAGGGTTTTCGTGGGTCACCTTCCTGCACAACACTTCACTATTAGCAGCTGTGAGGGGGGAACTGTTTCATCACCTTAATAAATGGAAACTTCTCAGCTCCGTGGCTGCAAGTGGAAGAAAAAGTTGCAGGAGCACCTGACGGCTAACGTCCCTCGGGTGTTGTCTTTGGGGGCTGAGTGTTATCCTCCACTGTCAGTTATGACACAGTGACGGAGGAGGGACGGTCATGTGTGAGAGCGACCGGCGGACACAAAATGACACAGGATGAAACCTGCCGTTGCTAAAAATAAACCCCCCGACGATGAGAACGTGACGATTTCCAGTCACAAGGTGAGACTGTGAGAGCGGTGACCCGCTGGTCTATACCTTTGATTTATTTTACTGATGGGAAGTGAAACCAGAGGTTGCTTTGGAAGGAAATCAGAAACTATGTTGAGTAAAGTACGCACAACTCAAAGTCAGTGGAATAGATGTGGTCTGGCTGGGAAGCCTTATCTTCTGGAAGTTACCTTAACATATTAATTTGCAGCAATAAACGTGTTTTGGGAGACACACAATATCTTGCAAAATGTTTAGTGACAACATGTTAATTTGGCTTGTGACTGGGAGGTCGTTGGTTCAATCTATTCCAAATGCTTCACATCTGAGCCACTGTCTCCAATTCAGACGAAACCACGACCCAGGACGTGTTGCTGGACCCGCTGGAGGGAAAGGAGGCACGACAGAACCAGGACCAGGACTGAGAGGAGCAGACTGTCGGACCCTGCTGCAGTAAAATGAGAGGTTTTCTAAAGGGACTCTGGTGCTCAGAAACACTACCACTTTAGTCCACAGGGGGCGCCAGAATCAACGTAAAGTAAAAGTTCCTCGTAGTAACTTTAAATATTGAAAAAGTCACAAGGGACTTGTTGCATTAAATGTAATCATTCTAAACCAAAATCACACTCTTTCCCTAACTAGAGTGCTTTTGTTGCTTATGTCATCTCTAGTAAACAGAGAAGGGCAATTTGATACATTTCGTTATTTTTTATGCCAAGTTTTTTGTTCTTAAACAAAGTTTTTCACTTTTTCTTCGACATTCAACTCTCTTAGTTTAACGAACAACAACACTATTAGAAAACTATGCAACTTTTTTCCCGAATACCTAATAAAGTTTGTTTATAGCTGGGTCCTCAGAGGTGAAATGCTACCCCCCCCCCCCACACACACACACACACACACACACACAGACACATTAGTGTGGAGCCTGTGGCCAGGTATATTACACATTGCGTCCTTAAACAATTAGACTGTGTTAGTAGTGTTTCATTGTAAGTATTGCTGGAGTCACTTTCGGGTTGTAGGTGATGCAGACACATGTGTGAAGGGGTCTGATGAACACCCAGGGGGCTCCAGGGTTACACTAGTACATGTGTTGTTTTCCACTCAGCCTTGATTAACTCCTGGAAAAGAAAGACAGAGTAACCATGGGCGTCTCACCTGTGGAATTAATTATCGGCACAAGATAGAGGAAGGCTCACTCCGCTTCCCCTCATTTCCTAATAAACAAGCTGTGCCGCTGCGTCTCTTCGTCACAGTCGTACGGGACTCTAACCAGGTAAGAACACCTCCCCCACAGACGTTCTGCTTCTTACTCTAATAATGTTCTATTAACACCGTGTTTTCATCGTCAGGAAGCTGCAAGTGTTCAACATCCTTCCAGCAGAATGCCGAGCCAGCTCGAGGGTGCGATGGATGCGCTCATAACGGTTTTCTACAACTACTCTGGAAACGATGGAGACAAGCTGAAGCTCAACAAGGGCGAGTTAAAGGAGCTGCTCAACAGTGAGCTCACCGACTTCCTCACGGTACAGTAGACCTTTCATCGTGTATGGTTACGTGGGTAAACGTGTTGTGTATTTAAGGAGAAGTTGCTGCATCATGAAGCAGAGTCGGACCAGTCGGACAGGAAACAGGGCCTCCCTGGTGAAGTCTTAAAGCTCAGCTCACTGGAGCGTCTGCAGGGACACTTCCCAGTAGACTTCAGGCCTTTATGTGCTGAAAGTTAACCTGTAAAAGCTTCATTGACTCACAGCTGATCACCACAGTTCAGTTATTAGCTCGTATTGGTGGCTGGAATATTTGTTAATAACTCTTACTTATTCTAATGAGCACTTTGGTGGCTTTTTCTTAAATTAAATGTATTGTTTCATAAGAAATGACTCCTAAAAACAATAATGACAACAACAATAATAATAAGCTTTATTTATATTGCAACTTTCAAAACATAAAATGCAGCAGGTATTTAAAAACAATAAAATAATACAAATTCCAAAACAATGGATATAAAATAATAAAAGAAGTTGATGGTGGTAAAAGCTATTTTAATATATAAAAAACATAAAATATTGAGTTTGATAAATAGAAAATAGATGCTGTTAGAAAAAGGTGGAATTAATTAAGGGCAAGTTTTAAGCTTTTTTCGGGGGGAAACAACAGAAGTTGCTTGTCTGGAGGGAGTTTGTTCATTAAAATGAAACAAAATGGCAATTCAGTCAGATGGCTAGGAGGACTTTCTTCATCTTGTTTGAAATGCAGCTTTGTTTTAATTTGTGTCATACATGTCACAGCAGGCAGTAAGATAATAATCATCATTTATCCATAAGGCTCTTAATAAAGCCCCGGATGTCCTGGGTGTTGGTTCACCAAAGTGTGACCTTAACATCTCCCTCATTCCCTCAATGGATCTATTATGACCAATACTACGGTAATCCACTCATCAAGGGTCCTCGGATGATGCTTTCATGTTCCTGACTCACTTGAAAGTACCTCGTTTCATGTTGTAAAGAGACGAACATGCCGGAGGGAATTGTTTTCTCATTGATTGCTATCCTGCTGTCAGAGTGTAAACTGCTGCTGGCTCTCACATCACGGCACTGTGTGAAATAGGAGAAGGAGAGGGTCATTTAAAGATAAGCCCCGGCCCCTGAGTCCGTGTGATAGCGGCCGATGATTGAGACCGTTAACAAAACGTCCGAGGCCCCAGAGTCAGACCTCTGATGCTTTCACATATATATATATATATATATATCTTCTTGTCCTCCCTCATGCGGATGGGAAGCCTCAGGTGCTCACGCATCATCATCATCATCATCAGCCCATATCGCCTCCAAATATAGACGCTCCCATGATGTCATCGCATCCCCTCGAGCTGCAGTCACCTCTGAGAATAAACGCAGCGACGCATTCGCCCTCAGTTTCCTCCGACAGAAAACACCGACACTTGGAAGGCTTGATAGATTACTGTGTCTGTGTATACATAGTGCACTGAAAAAAATGTTATGTTGAATTTACTTAATTTTTTTTAAGTAAGTGGTTGCACGAAATAAATTTATCTAAATCCAGATATATTTTTTAAGTTGACTTTACTTAATTTATATTCATAATTTTACCTAAACTATTTTGAGTAAAATATTTTTTACTCTATTTTGCCATTTAACTGTGAAACAGGACTTTGCTGGAGAGGAGAAAGTACGGAAGTCAAATTTGGAGAGTAGAGTTTGTTTTGAGTTCCTGGTGGGGAATTGTTTTCTGATAGAAATGCAGGATTGAGTTCAGCAGTTTGTCTTTTCATTTCTCAGAATAAAATGGAGATAAAACTTCAGCAGCGCCGAGGTTCTATTTTCCTAATATAGTCAATCCCATCTGAGTCTGCCTTTAGACTGGATTTGAATTTCAACCTTCGCTAAAAATGTTGTCTTTGATGAGCGTCCCGACGTAAAGATCAGCGCTGCCTCGGAGGTTAGGGGGTGTTAGGGGAGGTTAGGGGTGTAAAAGGAAAGCCATGTCTCGCCTTTCAATCCTGGAGGAAATGAGCAAAAGCCATAAATGTCGTGTGTGATCAGCTGCAGCTCACGGCTCATTGAGCAGCAACATCACTCTGCTCTCCACCGGACACGAGCAGCAGCTTCTGCCCTGAGTCAATACGGAGCTCCAACAACTCATCCTACATGGACACACTGATATTCCCTATAAGATGACGGAAATCTAGTGTTAACAGTGTTTTTGATTGCTTGAACGGTGTCAATACTATTGGCCAACAAGTCCAAGATATACAGGACAATCGTTAAGATGTATTCTTGTTTATTGGTCTAAACTTCTCCTTATATTTTCCTGTTTTTCAGTCTCAGAAGGATCCGATGCTGGTGGAGAAAATCATGAACGACCTGGACTCGAACAAAGACAACGAGGTGGACTTCAATGAGTTCGTTGTGTTGGTGGCCGCCCTGACTGTCGCCTGCAACGACTTCTTCCAAGAGCAGAAGAAGAAAACCAAGTAGATGTCTGTAGAAAACCGTCTGCGGACCAATCGTTTAATAAATGCCACCACATTAAAGAAACCATACAGTCAATATCCCATTAGTTGAATCATTTGTAACACAATACTGTTAAACAATGACTTTGTGATCTCACAAACTGTTTTTTCAGACCCAAATTAGTAAGTTTTATATTAGAGTGATGTTTGTAATCGTGTTTGGAGCTGTGTTTTATCCCAAACCTGGGTGCATTACAGTAAAAACTATTCTTCGTCTATACAGTAGATTCTACAGTAGGTTCAGGTCATTACTGATTCATTGAGAGGCTTAACCTTTAAAAACACGCCTTAAATCTCTCGTCATCATGTATTTTTTTGTCCCTCCTCTGATGTAAAAGTCTTTGGAGATGCAGTCTCAGCCGGATGCTGCATTTAGTAGGAAACATTTCTCGCTGTCAGTCAGTGTTCCCAGAGGAGCAACACTTTTATTTCCCCCTCATGTTGGAGCAAAGAGTCCCAGGATCACAGTGATGAGAGATCTTCTGTACGATGTCTGTAACATGTAATGTTTGAGATGTATGTTGTGTGAAAATGTTTCTTTTTTCCTGAGATATTTAGAATTTTGACCCGCCGATATGGTTTTAAACAATAGTTGCCTTTGAGTGTTTGAATATGAGAACTTCTATGGCAAAACAATATTATTGGTGGACCTGCTTACAACTACAAAGACAGCTGAAATGTGACACGTCAACTCGTTTTTTGATTTTGTTTGTGCAAGCGGACACAAGCTAAAAACAAGAATTTTAGTGTATTTTTACACTCGCACCTTCTCATGTAAAACCTTAATCTAAAAGTAAGTGAACGATAGCTGTCCAGTTAATGTAGACGAGTAAAAGTTCATTATTTCCCTCCGAAATGGAAATGCTCTAATAAAGTTATAGTGTGTGAGAGAGTGTTCTGTCATTCAGCTTCCGGCGTCTTCACTTTGCTTTGTGAAACGACCGCGTGCCATCATGTCTCAATGACACGAGGCAAGTCCCAGTGCGACGGACCACCTGGGTCCAGCAGCCAATCACGTGGACGCGTCTTCGCCTCCAGCAGAAGTGCTGACGTCGTCACCTTGGGGAGGACGCACATGTCAACTCAAGCGGGCTTTTTTTTTTCTGAGGGTTTTCCTCTGTACTTCTCTAAATACTCGACCAGACGGTTCATTTGCGACGACATTCTCTCCGCTGTGACGTTGGAGGAAAATTACTGAAACAAAAATACAGTGCGGTGCTTTTATGCGCGCAGATGGTGCTGGCACAAAAACGAAAACCTCGCCATTACAATGCAATTGGTCTGTGATTGGCTGTAATGGAGCAGGATAATCACCCCCCCCCCCCCCCCCCCCCGCGGGAAGGGGCCATGCAGTAATTATGTATTTTGTTCCCATTCTACAAAAGGTTGCAATCAATCACAAGTGTCATTTGATTATTTTTTTTCAATGTGGATATTTATATTCTCACACTCCACAGGCACCATTTAAAGTGAGTGTCTCCTCATTTCCTGTGACTGAACGTCATGGTCAGGAGCCGGAGACTTTTCCCACCGATCGTAAAGTACGAGTCGTGTGTCGTGATCTGATAGCTGTGTGTGTGTGTGTGTGTGTGTGTGTGTGTGTGTGTGTGTGTGTGTCAGTGTCATCGTGATGTGTTGTGAGTGTGGAGGTGGGAATTACTGGCAATTAAGAGATGCTGACACCTGAAACGAACATGCAACTAAGTTCCCAGCATGATGGGAGATGCATTGTTCATTATAGATTCTTTATGGATATATCAGAAATGAATTATATTAAATGCTCTTTTAATTGCTGTAAAAAGCAAAGTCAGAAGATCCTTTATGACGCTGGAAGCAGGAGACCAGAAGCTCTAATTACCAGAGAAGAAAAAAGAGAAAAGTGGTTAAAATATAGAAAAGAGACGTGACAACAAAAAGAAAAGATGAGGTTCATGTGTCATTGACACGTCAGAGAAAAGGAGGCTGGGATATCAAGAGGGATGATGGAAAGAAAGGCTCGGGAGGAAAAGATAAAGTCTTAAGAAATGATTATGATTTTGCATCTAAAACATGCCACAAACACAACATACGTTCCCAGAAACAACACACATAGTTGTTGATAACATCAGGAAATCAATTAGAAAGAATTGCCCAATAAGAAAAGAGTGATGGAGGAAGAAAAGAGGGACAAGACCAAAGAAATCTTTCCTATTGTGATTAACAGACATGGAGGTATATTTGTGTATAATGTGTTTCAGGCATAGAACAGTTTCTCCTCATTTCTGTAGCTGCTACCTGCGACGAATGTCTTTAGAAATATGCCTCGAGCCCTTATCTCCCACATGCTGTCCCTTCTACAGTTCCGTCACTCTGTGCGTCACTGTTTGTGTCATAAGTCCCCATTAGGACTGACCTGTGTGTGTGTGTGTAAACTGAGTGAACATTGAATGTGATATGGTCCTCATGGATGTGATCATTTTGCAGAACAAAGGTTAGACAGCTGCAGGCCTTAACGAGGGACGTTAAAGTTGTTTCGAACAGAACAACAATATAAAATGAATTCAATTATAAAGACGGACAAGATGAAACATGATGAAAGCTTATAACATGAACACCATGCAAGAAAATCAGAAATAAATACAATCCAATCAGAGGCATACACATGACAGAAAAGGAGCAATTAGGAGGAGAGCTCAGCGCTCGATGTTTTGAAATTAAAGATCGATTTAAATCTTGATTAAACACGGATGACGAGAGCAGATTTGTGCCACGTAGAAAATAAAGATTTGTAGCTTTAAATAAACTACCAGACCAGAGAGGGGTGTTAGTAGTAAACACTGTTACCTCTGTTTGCACTGTTAGCACCGTTGGCTACATTGTTGCCAGGTTGAGAGTCGAAACAATCGAAATGCTCTCAATCTCGTATGCACCTTCAACAAATAAGAATTACATTTCTTAATTATCTTATTTTATTTTGCCTCTCCTGCATTTTATTCATGTATTGTAAAAAAAGAAGACGGATGTGTGAAGGTAGAAGATGAATGACACAACAACACAGGAAGAGTCAGGCTTCAGGTCTTCCTCACAGTTTCAGGCGGCAACACGAAGAAGAAGAAAGGCAACGCCATGAATTGTCATTATGTGTCCGAACACCTTTAGCGCTGCTGATTACAGCTGCAGATGGAGGATGATCCTGTTATGAAGCGATTTTCCACGGATGCTTGCTTTGTCCCGGAAAGCTGTGCGGTCATCCCTCCGGGGTCCTGAAGCTCGTGTTGGCCAACGGACAGCCTGATCTGTCTCCCACACTGGAAAAGAACAACACGCTATGGTGGGCTTTATCTGTGATTCATACCAGACGTATGTTTGCTGCTGCACAGGAAGAGAAATTAGAAAATAAATTGAATTAATGAATTTTATTGAACAATGACTCACAACTTCTTACAAACTATATAATAAGGATTTTTAATGCAGCATTTTAAATGTTTACATTGTTTCATCTGACCTTGTTGTGCACTGTATTTTATAGATGACGGGTTAGTTACAGATAACACATGGTAAGTAATGAATAATTGTGTCAGATCTAACCTAATCCATTCCAGAGAACCAGAAAACATAAAGACCCTCACAGAAAAGAAAATACCAAACATATTACAATCCATCCTCAGGACATAAATGCCTGCACAAAATGTAATGGCAATCCATCAAGGACCTAAACTAAAGTTCTCAACCTCGCGTTGGCGCTAAAGGAAAAGGAAATCACCGTTAAGATCCATCCTCTGGGGACCATGACTGTCTGTACAAAAACTTTAGCAATCTATTCACTAGTTGACATGACACTTCACTTAAAGAAATGATTAGAAATGTATCTGCAAAAATAAAAAAAACACCAATCAGTGAGTAAATATATCAAAGTATATTTGCAAAAGAAGATTCAAATGATAAAATAAATAATATTCCCTTTCAAAACCTAAAAAACAGACCTATTGAGAATAACTTTTATAAAATATGAACGCACAAAGAAGAATAGTCTCATGAGGATAAAAGTGTGATGTTTCATAGGGCACAGCAAAAATATTGAGTGTCTGTTTCCGCTTTCAGCCCCAGCTGAGTGATTGACGAAGTATTGATATTTCTGTCTCTCAGAAAGGCCAAATTCAAATGTCACGCTTCATTTTCTCAACCTGTAGAGTAACAGAGGAGTTCAAACAAAACCGTCATCATCATCCCAATCAACCCGTCAGACCAAAACACACTTCCTTAGAGCAGCATCTCTGTTGTTCTGCAGTATAAAAGAAGGTGGACGAGGGAACAGGCCTCTACAGGCAGGCAGCTTCCTCTGGGTCTGAAAAGTGAAGTCAAAGCTTCATGTCTTAAAGCTGCATTCTCTCTAGTGTCCACCAGGGGGCGACTCCTCTGGTTGTATAGAAGTCTATGAGAAAATGACTCTACTTCTCTCTTGATTTATTACCTCAGTAAACATTGTAAACATGAGTTTATGGTCTCAATCTCTAGTTTCAAGTCTTCTTCAATACAGCATGATGTTCATTTAGTACATTATGATCTATTTAGATTTGAAATATAGACATTTTAACCCAAATCATGATCTTTCCCTAAACACGTTGTTTTTGTGCCCAAACCTTAACCACAGCGTTGTCGCATCATAAAACTGATTTTGAATGGCACTGATTTGTACAAACAAATGATGTCGTCCTGCCGTTAATCAGATCAGAAAACATTATTTTGTCTCTTCATTTGGAGGACTTCTTTGTTTTTAAAGGTTCATTTAGAACTGACACATTGTCGCTTGTGGTCTTTTCATAAGATTTAATCACAGCTGCTTTGTACCCACACCTTCATTTCCTGTAATATTCAAATATACATTAGTGAAAGCCCACTAGAGATGCTTACCACCACACACACACACACACACAGACTGATTTCTGCTGGAAAGACGTGGGTCGTCATCACGCGCTCGTTCATCACCAGCTGCGGCTGCAGGTGTGTGTCAATGATAAAACACCTGCAGGCCTTTTATCACCGCTCGCTCCGCTGGTTTGCACCATTCAAGCCATCATTTTGTGAGATATCGCCTGCTGTTCTCTCTGCAGTGACAGTGAGAGGCGTCACCAAAGATAGTGGCATCATCCCACATCTCAAGCGGTGATGAAGAGGCACGCTCTGAAAGGCTGGTCGTTTACAAAAGCCTGCAGGTTCTTGCTGAAATATACTGAAATCTCAACTGTGGATGGAAGTATATTTGTACATTATAGTATGAAGTCAGCTGTTCATGTTTCCATCTTTACACAACCAAGACAGTTTTCAGCCACACTTGTTAGTACTGCGGCACAGCGAGGCTTTGAGCAAAATGCTAACGTCAGCATGCTAACATGCTCATTATGACGATGCTAACATGCTGCTGCTGGTGATTTAGCTTGTTAGCATGCTAACTTTTGTTAATTAGCACGAAACGCAAAGTGCAGCTGAGGCTGATGGGAAAGTGCTTCGTTTTGAAAGATGTTTGGTGATAAACCAAAGTATTAAGACACATGTGGCCAAAGGTAGTCACGATGGGCCCCAGTGCACCCTATGGAGCGCACACACACACACACACACACACACACTATAGCATCACTTCGTCAAATAATCAAATAGAGACATGACATGGACAATATCAACATACATATTACCCAGCAATCATTATTGCATATCTGTATGTGACAAAAATACGAAAGACAATAAGAAGTTATTTTTTAAATTAATTTAATTGTTTTTATAGTTTATTTCATTTTCATAGTTTATGTAAAATAAGCATATGATTTGTTAACACTATTGTCACTCCTACTCCGCCTGCAGCGTCTATTTTTACGGTCCTGATTGGACAAATTAAAACTGTTGGTTGTGTGAGTGGAAAAGCCGGGGAACCAGTAGGATCCATCCTCTGGGAACCATGAACATCTATACAAAATGTCCATGGCAATCCAATAACTGACCAACCAACACTGCCATCCCTACAGCCATTACTGTGGCTAAAATAATGGATAATTCCATTTTATCCATTTAATTCACAGGAATGATTTGAAAGACACCCAGCAGAGAAACAGGCATACTGACTAATCCATCACAGATGGACTGACCGTCATAAAAACAGTGGCTTTTTCACTCAAATGTTTCAAATTGACCACATAATGTGAAAGTTTATGTACTTTAGTGCACTCCTGAACAAACAGAAGCAGTCCAGTCTGGAAAGGAGGAGCAGCAAATACCTCCCGTATGTGTCTCTCCACCGAAACTAATGAATTGAAAGTAATTTATTGGAGCAGTGCACCGAACAGACAGGGATACTTGCAGGACTTTCCTTTGAGCACAACAAGCCTGAAGTGAAACTGATTTATCTAAATATAAATGTAAAGGAAATGTATAGAATAATGTGTGTTTATCTGACAAAAGGTTTGTTCTTCTTCTGGTGTCCCAGTACTACAAGGGACTGTGATGTCGTTGTCAGTGCAAATCACAAACAGGAAACACAGTTGAGTGCTGTGTCATGCGGTATAATTTTATTACAAAAAGGTTTTATACAAATTCAACTGCATAATGTCAATGAACACTTGTATTTATTGTATTGATCTATTGCCCTCGATGGCAGGATGTGACTCAGCACATCATGCAGCAAAATAAACCAGCGTTTATTTTCAGGAATGTTGATCATGAACTCATACGTAATATAATAACAATATCATAAGTCTTGATAAGTACACAAACTTTACACAAAGCAAAAACAATAGCAGTTCCACCAAACACAAAAGGACACTTCATTACGCTTTATTTAGCAACAACCAGAATGAGAAACAGAATTAAAAACAAGTTGAAAGTCTGTAATATAATATCACTGCATCTGTATGTATCTTATTTTTATCAGAGGGACCGACCGGGTGGATCTCTTGTTTCTTTTTTAATGAAATAATTGAGGAAAAAACAAAATGTTTGCAGTCAAACGGTACATTTGTCTCGTCGTGATCCTGCTGGGATCAGTTATTGAAGCAGAAGTCCTCCACGTTGTTGAGTTTGATCGTCTGCAGCTCCTGGCTGTCCAGTAGCCTGTAGCTGAAAGACACTCGGCTGACGAACTTCCCGCTGGACACCATCCTCACCACGGTGTTATCGCAGCCGATCTTCATGTGGGCTGCAGAGGATGGGGGGGGGGGATATTTATTATTGAGGCTCAGTTCAGCTGGTTTGATGAGGTGGAAAGGGAGGAGATCAGTGTGTACTCACTGGGTCCGGTGAAGGAGATGCAGAGGTCTGTGATGGGCAGCAGCTTCGACGTGTCGATGCCGCTTCCTCCCAGCAACTGCACAAAATCCCCTGATTCTGCACAGCCAGGCATGGACCTCTGTGGAAACCAACACAAGGCTTCATAACCAGCCCAGTGTCATGGCAGGTTGGGAAATAGTCACGAAATGCAATCTAATGGTTTTGTGTACGGGGTTGATCGTTCTTTTCGTGTCACGTGTCAATAATGCCGATGGAAAGTCAATTAGGAGCTTTATTTGTGGTGGACACACAAATGAAATGCATCCGTGTGACTAAAGCAACAGTCAGAGCAAGTCACGTACTTTATAGTATCCAAAAGGACGAGTATTGGTGGGCGAGACTGGAAGTGGACGAGTGCAACAAACAGGACTAACAACCAGAAGAGTTTGACACCGCCTGGTTTCATGGTTGTGGTTTTCTTCATGTCGTTGGAACATTGGAAGAAGTGTGACGGAGCAGCTGGATTGTCGTTGTGCGCACGCTTTTAGTTTTCTTATTTTAATGTTATTTATAACGTTAAACCTGCATTAACTAATTGTTTGGTCACTTGGGGGCAGCAGGAATTCGCCGTAAACACAACACTGGCTCTTTATCAGCTTTTAAGTTGATATGCTGAACTTGTATGCGAACAGTCTGTGTAAAAGTCAAATATTCCACTGGTGAGAGCAGTGAGACTGAACCAGTGAAGTTCTGGGTCCTAAAACCAAAACAAGCTGAGAGACGCTAAAATGAGGGGAACTGCAGAGTTTTGATGTCACATCGTCATTTGATTGCCATTGTTAAAATACAAAATATAGATTTTGCAGCTGTTTTGACATACAATGAGGACTTGCTGCTCTGTTTACTTCTGTACTTCTTAAGCGTAAATAGCATCAAAAGTTCAACATGAACTTGTAATTTAAAAGACAAAACATGAACTTGTAATTTAAGACATAATATCAGCAAGCAGGCAAATCAGGTGGAATGATAGTAGCATAAGAACTGCACACAACGTTTAGGTTTTAAAGAGCAAATCACAGAAGTTGCCATGCAGAAATGACTTTAAACCAAAAGTGGGTAATCATCAAATACCGACACTTAGTCAGTGGCCCTCGGTGTCTGACATCGACGCACAGAGGCACCCTTTAGTGTCTGTATGAGACAAACCCGGCTTTCAACTAACTCCAATGTAAACACACGTCATTATCAGACGGTCAGAGCAACTGACGTATGATAAAATGTGAAACAGTCGATATCAGGTGGCTGAGAGTGGAGGATGGACGGATCAAATAAACGCAAGATTTTCACCCAGGAGACCGCTGTTCATGTCCTGAGTTAAACCAAATAACACTGACTTTTTTACCATAGTTTTGATACGTATCTTACGGAGCCTAAAGCCAGTGACGTAACAAGCATAGTCATTTTACATTAGAAAAATAATCTTTTGCTAAACCGAACCAAGTACTTTTGGTGCATAAAGCTTACCAAGTACTTTTGTTGCATAAGTAAACCTAAAAATGTAGTAAACCCACGCTGGAACGTCCAAAACTGGCACTAGAGTGGAAACTAGAGTTCATAGTTTGAAGCACAGGGCCGCTGACCAACCCTCGATATTTCACGAGTTCGGAGTAAGAAAGTGTGTTTAATTTTCTGGCTGCTTTGCACACCCTGATCAAATGTCAAATCATCTCTTTTGTACTGAAGTAGTGGCAGAACTTTGAGAAAAAAATGAGGCGAGGAGACGCAGAGAGAGCACGGAGGAAACAGTGAAGTGAATATCGTACATAAATCAGTCTTCTATGTATCTGCTCACCTTGGGAAGTTTGTTGTAGTGTCCCAGGCTGAACTCGGAGACGTCGATCTCCACTGGATAAATGATGGAGAAGCTGCAGTTCCTGTGCTGCTGTGGGTTCACCATTGTGTAACTGCCCTCTGGTGACTGGGAGATGACATTACAGGCTGCAAGGAGACAGGAGATGGAGGAAAAGAAAAAAGGAGGGACGTCACGAAGATTCCCTGGATGGATTCTCAAGGTGAAGCAATTTACACAGAGAAGCACACATTGTTTAATGCACATGACAGCAACAAAATGTAAAGGTGCTTTAATTATGAGCGCTTGGTCCGTCAGAGCATGGAACAAAACTCAAATTGTGGCTTAAGTGCTCATTTTATTCTTAATTACTCGATATAGCTTCAAAGGTATCAATCTGAAACACATACAAAGGTTGCTCTTGACAGAATTCAAGTCTGGTGATTTTGGTTTAATAGAGAAATCAACAAGTTTTGGGTTCAATGTGTCTGTTTTTTGTCTTGTCCTCTCATGTTACTGCAGGACAGGGTCTTCCATGTGCTCCTGGTCCTGGTCCAGAAACACAGTGGTGGCAAACTGTCCCCTGTTGGTGCAGTTGATGACCAAACCTCCCCGCTATAGGCTTCTGTTCTCCCCACAGACGTATTTATGAATGTGACACGGTCTCACTCACGGAAAGGATTGATGTGTTTCCTGACTGTCAGGGTGAAGCTGCTGCCGGCGTTGTGGATGCGGAAGAAGACCATGGCCACGTTCTGAGAGGAGCGCACGCTTCTCCTCAGCGACCCCGAGTCACAGTAATCCACGTAGCGCTCGTACTGAGGCAGCGGGTGATCCTGGGAGCTGGGGAACTTCTCTCCTTTCATCACCCAGCCGTCAAACACCTTCATGGGACACAACAACGGCTACAGTCACGGAAGATTCATGCAGGTTTTCTTTGTTTATTTGAATCAAAAGATGAATGTGCAGTGGTTGAACTCTGTGGGGAACACATTGAAGTTACTGCTGGAGGTTTAGACCACCATGATAAGTTCGGAGCACACTATGGAGGTGGTGCTTTTATAGGTTAAGCATGTACCTTTATGTACATCCTTTATGTTAAAGGAGCTTTCTGTCTAATCAGGAAGCGTTTTTAAGCTCAAGCAAGTTACATGACAAGTTACGTGACCCCATTTTGAAGGCATGAAAACAATCACAGGCTGTACAGTACCTAAACAAACACAAGGTCACATTCCATCACCAGTGATTACTGAATATATACATAATTATAGACATAAGGAGCTGTTTCTATGCAACAGGAGTTAAAGATGAGGAGAAACTCTGCAGGCAAAAACATACTTTTTCATGCACTGATCAATTTTAAGATTTTCCTTCTTTTTTTCAGACTAGTGGAAAGAAAACATGCAAAATACACAATTAGGTGTTGATTTTACTACTTTGTCTATTTACATCTGTAGATTTCTCTTTAAAATTAGTTTTTTCTCCACTTCCGTAGCTCTTAACTTTCCAGTTTCATTCCTCTATTCTGAAGGTTTTTATGGGTTTGTTCAGATATCATTCAGCCTGATTAATACAACATTTTATCACTAAAAACATGAAGAGAATGTATGTTTTTTAATGGCTGTTGAGAGTATTTTCTGATTTATGAAGTGATAAAAAAAGAGATATCCAATATTCCCTGTGTAAAAACCTTTGACTCTAACATGTTAACAACATGGAAACAAGTATTTTGAACCTGCTCATTCAATGTTCACTTTTATGTTCTGGAGGTTTATGCAAATTATGTAGAAAACATAATGCCTGATTTGCATATTTAAACATAACATTCAGGTGATATCTATGAGTTCAAATGTTTTCCATCCCCTCACATGTGAGGAAGAAGATGATGCGTTTGTGGAGTTACCGTGATGAAGTCTCCTCCGCTGCAGTCGATGTCCACGTTGTCGTAATCCACACTGATCAGCTCGTTGGGCTCCGCCATGAAGAAAGCAGCGCAGCTGAGCTGAGGACGCTCCGCTGTGAAGGTGAACTGACCCTCCACCGCGACCATGTCCAGACAACCTGAGACGCACAGCGGTGTGTTTACACACCTTTCATACTCACAACCACCGGAAAACAGCACGCAGGAGACGGGTTTATGTATTTAATTTTATTTTATTGTGCCTTTTTCTTTCGTTTCTTTGCTACTCAAGTTTTTATTTTATTTTATTCTATTTTATATGCAAATAAAACAAGTTGAAACTGAAAACTGAACCAGAGAGAGAGGGAGAGCATTCCTGTTCAAATTGACAGATTGTATTTATGTTAATTTATTCAAAAGTAAATAAAGGTGTCTCTTTTCCTCGCTTTCATAAGCAAATAAAATATGACTTACGTAAAGGTCGGCGGTACATTAATTCCTCAGGTGTCTCTCTCTTGAGTTCCGAGTTGAAAAATGAAAATAATTCATCTTTGGAGATCTCGTTGTTCTGCAGAAGAAGAAGAAGAAGAGTGTACAAAGTTGACCTCACATGTGCATCTTTTAAGTGAATAATAAGAAAGTTGAAGTGCTCACCTCGATGTATCTGGAGTCTCCCTTCAGGACGGACAGACACAGCACCAGGAAGAAGAGCTGCTCTCGGAAAGTGCGCTCCATAACGCGCATCTCTGGTCTGCAAAGGCGCACCTGAGCGGAGAAAGTGTGAGTCGCTCTGAGACCGGCGCTGCTTCTTATAGGAGCGAGCTCGTGACTAGAGCACGAGAGGGGGAGAGGGGAGGTACGACGTTTTTTTTTTGATCATCTAACGTTGCATTTTGACCAGTCAGAACAGAACCTTTATTATTATTATGGGATATTGGCTCAACTAAACATTTGAACTGTAGCAGAGTAAATATAATTGCTGTTGTGGGAAAGATGAAAGAAGGTAAAATACATCAGCTTCATGATCAGTGACTTTGTGGAGAACGAGAGCTTGATTCACTAGAGTCCAGATGTTCTCAGTAAGAAGCTGAAAGGTGAGTTTATGTTTGCTTTGTAAAACAGTATATAACATTTAATATTAGAACATCAGACTGAAATGAGCTGCAGACAAACAAACAAAACAATTCATAATAATAAATAAAGTTTTGTGTTGTGTAGTTTTTTTTTCTTCTTATGACTCTATATTGACATTCGTATTAAGTTTACGTGAAGGTTTGGTTCAAAGTTCGATCAGCGGTTTTCAGTGAAATGATCTTGTTTGAATGTGATTTATGATAAATACTTTATTTTAAGATGTTTGTCTTCTTTGTTTCAGGACAGCGTGTTCGACTATTCATGTAACTGAGGACCAAACTGATTTTCTAAAGCGGATGGCAAAGATTTTGGGATGCTGCTCATCATTTATATACAAGAGGTCGAGGTGAGGAGTAGCTTTTCTATCACTGATGATGAAGAACTTCGAGTTCTCCATCCAAACTCTGATTGTTAGCTCAAATATGACAACGGACAGTGAGGATATCATCGGTGTGTTGGATGTAAATTTAGATGTTTCCGTGACACGTGGGCCAACTCTATCTGCTGATGAAGCTCCAGTGATGTGACTGAAAACACCAGAACCGCTGCTAAATGGATCTATCGGTGAGATTGGTGTTCAGGAACTAAAGAAAAGAGAAATAAGATCATGTGATCAAAGGATTTCCTCTCAGTATCATGACATTAGGTTCCTCTCCATCATGGGGCCACAAACAAACATCATTTTTCATGCACTGGTCACTTTTGAGATGTTGGTCCATTTAGCTACTTCTTCTTTCAGACTATTGGAAAGAAAACATCCAAAATACACATTTCGGTATTTATTTTACTGCTTTGCATATTTGCGTCTGTGGTGCAGGAATGAGTCCTAAATGAACAAAGTATGAAAACAATCAGCAGAAGTAAAAAGCTAACGTTAGGCTATAAAGGAACTCCACCACGGTCACATGACTTCACATCTCCACCACTAAGCTTAAAGGACTAGTGTAGTGAGGACGTTTAGTCGTCTCATTTAGACTCTTGGAACATGAAGATGAAGATGAGCAAGAGGAAGAGGAGGAGTAGATGGAGGATTGTGTGTTCGACTGTCTGATAGTAGAACTGGATGATGAGTTTAAATTCCCACGACAGCGTCGTCTAGCTGGTGTAACAATCACACCAGCAGAACATTCACTGAAGCTTCACGCCCGCCCTGTGTGTGATGCCGTCCTGACAAACCCCCCCGGAGCCTTCAGCGCTGTGGTCTTTCAGGGAGGGTGAGAAAAACTCCAGCGAAACCTTGTTGGACGCCAAAAAATAAGCAGTTTCTGAAAGATGGACCCTTGCTTTTTGTATCCATGACCCTAAACAATCTACACGCCAAATCATACATGTAATCAGTTGTTAATTATAAACTGGACAGCATTCATTTTTGTTGTGTTTCTGCACATCTGCAGCATCTGTAAAGCATCATTTACTTGTTTATCAGCATGAAAACAACTTAACGGTGGAACTAAACGCCCTTACAATGAAGTTCTTGGTTGCTGAAAAGTTTTAAGTCACATTCACATATTTCGTCAAGGACACCGAGAACTCGTCCACCTGTCTGAGCTCAGTCCCTGCAGGTCTGCAGGTGCCTCGGGCTGCTGAAAAAGGTCAATCCATTCAAATGCAGAAGAATTGGGCGTCGATGTAATCGACACTCTTGGGTGGCGAATTGGAGGCAAACAACATGCTGGTGTCTGCAAGATAAGCTGCGGTTGTATAAATATTTTTGTACAACCTGGAGGCGAATAGAAATGACTTGAGACAATATAACTTCATAAGACGATGTCGCAAAAGTATCAATGTCAAATTCTAAACTCATTTTCAGTTTCCTCCTTATATTGGTACTGTGTACATTTGAACCACACATCTCACTGCAACATGTAAACATGTATCCAACTGTCACTGCTCTGCGTACTCTTTTGCTGCATGCATTCCTGCCACATCCACTCACCCAAAAAGCTATGCCGACCCTTTGAATTCACCCGAGACAATGAGGTCAGAGCCTAAACCACAAAACATCGACACATATTCTGTATTCACATATAAGCTATTTCTAGCCCAGTATCACGGCAGGTCGTGAAATAGAAATCACAAAATGCAATCTATATGTTTCGTGTGCGGGGTCAGAGCAAGTGACGTAGTTCTTAATATCCAAAAGACGACTATTGGTGGTTGGGAGAGGAGCTGGACCACAGCGTTGTGGTTTTGTTGCCTGAACCTAACTGTT